TATATATATATATATGTGTATATATATATATATATGTGTATATATTGGACAAAAGTTTGGAATAAATAAGGTTTTTTAATGTTTTTAAAAGAAGTCTCTTCTGCTCACCAAGACTGCATTTATTTGATCAAAAATACAGTAAAATAACTAATATAGTGAATTTTGTGTAATATAGTCTTCAGTGTCACATGATCCTTCAGAAATCATTCTAATATGCTATTTTGCTGTTCAAATATTCAATTATAGACCAAATATTATGTATCTGCCTTGTCAATTAGGTAAATAATCTTTTTGCTGAATGTTTTTTCACTGGTCTGTCTCACCTCTCTCGGCATCCATGGTCTCCTGTCCCAGGGTGGGCGGCTGGGAATCCTCTGTACGGAAGTAGGATGCATGGGAAGGGCTCACTGCCTCACTCACATGCTGTGGACTGGAGTTGCTGCTGCTGTCCACTTTGGTATTAGACTGATAGGCATCTGATAGGAAACTCTGGTTACTGTTGTCATCTGTTTAGGAAAGTGAATGTATGAATGAAACATATTTGCGTGAAGTCTCCTGAAGAAATATGTGAATTATGTTTAAGTACTTTAGCATACTGTAATGTTACAGTACATGCTATGTTTAAATAGGTATGCAAAGCACACTGTCAAGGTGCAAGGTCATTTAAGTAACTAGAGCATAACAACATAACCCAGTGATGCATTATATTAAATAGAGGATGTTCTGAATTGTTTAGAGAGGAAATATCAAGCTTGACCCTTGTGTCTGACATAAACATAGCCAGTTAAAACCTGTATTACCCTGAAAGTCCAGTAGCACGGAACGGGCGTTTTCCAACACCACATCTGTAGGAAAGCCCTTCAGCTCCCTCACTGCAGTACCTGACACTTTAGGCTTGTATATCTACAAGAAAGAAAAAAAGATGTTTTGAAAATGAACACTATATTTATATATCTGAGAAGTGGACAGCCACTTATGATGACATGATATACACACCTGTTTAGTCTCTGTAACAGGGACCCATTTGAATATCCGTAATGACGTGTCTCCCACTGTAACCCACTTTTTTTCCCTAAGAGGACAAACACTTTCCAGGTTAATATTACAAAAATGCCTATATTAAAAGGAGAAGAAAACATTTAGGATTGTTAATTTTTTCCCCAAATTCTGAGTGCTGTTACGCAGCTGTGTATATGTTACAAGGATGTTCAACAGAGACTAACTAAAATTAATATATAAAACTGCTAATTTTTACATTTCAGACATTCCGATCAGAAATGTATATGACAAAATGACTTCACTCCATTACAGATCACCAACAGATTGTACAATCCCCATTGTCACGTCTAAGACACGCCTACACGCTGGATACAGTGAAGCCCATTGGTTGCCTTGCTTGTCTGTCATGTTACCGAATGACGTCACCCTCCCCGCCACTCTGAAGTTTATTTTTGTAACGTAGAAGAAAATAAACTTGTCTCCCTCTTTAAACAAGCAACTTACCACCGACGGACCCTTTCAATTGCCGCCATCACTTTTTTGATATCATCTTTTGCACGGCTGCGTGTCTCCGCTCGCACGGACCGTCCCGACATTTTAATGGGTTTTATTAGTTTGTCAAGATCTCCCTCTTTTTCTTGCCTTCTTCCGTCTGCGACTTGATTTCGCCCTGTCTTCGTCTTTGTCTCGCGAGATTTCATAACGCGCCACTGGCACTGCCTCTTTGCATTTTTTACATCACCCTTATTTAATTTATTTGTACATTTATTTTCATTATAAAACATTCTTTACATTCTGTTATCTAATAACCACAATATGGATGCACCACATTAAAAGAAGCTGTTACGTGCCTATAATG